GCCCCAGCGTTGCGGGCACTCGCTTGCCAGGCTTCCTGTAGCAGCTGGAGTGCCTCCCTGCCCCCAGCGTTGCGGGCACTCGCTTCCCAGGCTGGTGCTAGTCCTACACCGCTGGATTTCCACCCTGTCGGCTGGTGACTCACCCACTGGTCGTCTTCGCAAGGGTCATCTTCCAACGACAGCAACTCGGTCGGATCCCTTCCGTCGCCATCCTGAGTGTCTGCCGGGTAACCCACGTCAGGTTTCCTGTCATCGTCCCTTGCCGTTCCCTGCGTGCTCTCAGTCGACCTGGTTAGCATAGGCCTCTGGGCTTGGGTCTCCTATAAACCGAATAATAACCGGTGGGGCGGGAAACAGGATAAGAGGGTCTTGGAGCTTACACTTAGGTCCAAAAGGCAGAGCTGCCCTCTTCCATACCAAGCTCCGCACCCTGCTGTCCCCAGCCCCTGAAATGGCAGTCATGAGCCGCCCGTCCAACACCTGGACCGCGGCAGGCTTTTATTCCAGCCGTTCCCACCGACAGAACCGGCCCACCAGCAGCTACGAGACCAGAACAGTCGTGTCGGCAGCTGCACGTGGTGCCTATTCGAGGCACACACGGAGGCCAATGTCGGGTGCGGGGCCACCGTGCGCTTCCGTGGCTACACCCAAGCAGTCAGCCAGCACTTCATAAAGCGGAATGCAGGCAAGAGCCTGAAGGTCGGCGCCCGGGCTCTCAAGAAGACCCATCGGCATTTCGTCAGCGCGGGCAGTGTCATGCAGGCGATGTACAGGATGCTCCACCTTGGGACTCCACACAAGATCACGCAGAAACAGTTCGATGAGGCGGCGCTCCAGACTGGGTGCAAGGGCCTGACTGCCTTTGCGGCCCTGCCGTACGTCGACCTGTCGTGCCTCTTCACCATCTCCACCGGCCATGCCCTGCTGTTCGGAGTGGTCAGCGACTTTGTGGACTACACGCTGAGGTCGCTCAAAGACATCAAGCCAGCAGACCCAGATGCCAAGCTGGTCATGTCTCGTGAAGCACGCCAGCGGGTCGCGGCCCGCGGCCAGTTCCTGGTTGTGACTTCGGACTTCGGGCGGCGGTACAAATGCATCATGCAGTACCGGTGAGCACGGCCAGCACTGGGCAGCCGGCCACACACGGGGGTCGCTAATAGCCGAGAAAGCAAATACGACCAGGGGCTTGCCTGAAAAAAACACCTTTGTCTGTCAGAGAGTTTACTACTCTACCTATGTAATGTACTTCTTCTAGTTACACGGTTGCTCGCCACACTGCCCCCCTCCACCCATGCAGCAAGAGCTACCGCATGGAGGACTGGCTGCACTTCGTTGAGACGTTCTCCAGCTACATCTTCAAGGGGGACGTGCTGCCCGAGGCCTTGCGGGCCCTGTGTTGGAGCCTGTGCAGCACGGTCACGCACTACTTCCGGCCGCGGCCCCCCGACGAGACCCGTGAGCAGTTCCTGGTGGCAGCCAAGGCGGCTGCATGCAAGCTCAGAGCTTACATGACCAGGCTGGAGGAGTTGGAGGTGCTGGGCTACATGTTCACGGTCAACCTGCACATCTGCGTATGCCGGCTGTACGACCAGGAGTGCCAGCTTGGGTCCACGGCAGGGTTCTCCGAACAGCCGGTGGAACGCATGATGCAGCAAATGAAGACGCAAGGCGGAAGGATGGTGTCACAGGCACCCGAGAAGCACTACACGCAGTGGCTGTGCCTGATGTGGGCCTCCGAGTCGCTCACCGAGGCAGACCCCGCGACCGGGGCCAAACACACGACCAACCAGCAGCTTGAGAGGATGTTGGCACAGCGCGCAGTGAATACCGAGGCTGCCTGGTTTGATAAACCAGGAGGCAACGGTTACCTGCTTGGACGAGGCCACATGGTCTACCCGAGTCCAGAACGAGTGGCACAAGTCCGGGCAGCCATGGCGAGCCTAGTGCACTGGTATGCCCTGGCATTCGAGGATGTGGCTTCCTGGACATTGGGTCCCAGTGCGAGCTACGAACTGGACACGGACCGCCTGGATAGGGTTCTCATGTCTACACCACCCGACTGTCCCAAGGCCCGCTCCTTTTTGCGTGCCGAGGCACTCGATGAGTAGCAGTACTTCGGGGCTGAGTATGGGCGCCAGCAGCAGCGGACCTCCTGCTGGGCATGCTACCAGGCAGAAGTCGGCAACGAGACTCGGACGTATGTGGCCTACCTCAAGTACTTCGTCCACCTGCCCGCAGAAGACGGCCTCAGGATGTCCGCTTCGCTGTCGCAGATGTGTACTCGGGACAGGTGTTCAGCGGGGGGCTGGTGGTGGTCAACATGGCGGCCGCCCAGACAGCGAGGGCAGGCAGCCAGTGGGAGATGTGGCAGGACCTAGGGTTGCCGCTAAGTGAGCTGGAGGGCAAGTTCTGCACAGCCGCCCTGGAGGGGGACCGAAAGGGGCTGATGTACTTCATGCCATACACACACTTCACCAACCGCTGAGCAACCGCAGCAATGAGGCCGATGGATGCACCCTTGTCTGGTTGACAACGAATGACATTGGGGGGTGACATGAACGCTGTTTTCGAGGACGATGGTTGAGATGAATGCATCAGGCTGTCAGGCTGGCTGGTTGGCGTTGTGAGTCCAAAGACTTAGGCTATTTTGACAAGGGGTGTGCGTCCATTTTGAGGCTTGCCACAAGTATTCACCAATCGTTAATTTAACATGCAGTAAGCGTCACATCGCAGAGTAATATCTGCCTGTGTAACCCGTGATAACAGGGTCTTCACCCGTAATTTTGCGTGTAATTGGTTACATGCCCCGTAATTTACCCGCAGCACCGCGTAATATTCACCTGTAATCACTGGGTCTTCACCCGTAATTTTGCGTGTAATTGGTTACATGCGCCCGTAATTCACCTCCAGCACCGCGTAAAATCCACCCATAATCACTGGGTCTTCACCCGTAATTTTGCGTGTAATTGGTTACATGCGCCCGTAATTCACCTCCAGCACCACGTAAAATCCACCCGTAATCACTGGGTCTTCACCCGTAATTTTGCGTGTAATTGGTTACATGCGCCCGTAATTCACCTCCAGCACCGCGTAAAATCCACCCATAATCACTGGGTCTTCACCCGTAATTTTGCGTGTAATTGGTTACATGCGCCCGTAATTCACCTCCAGCACCGCGTAAAATCCACCCATAATCACTGGGTCTTCACCCGTAATTTTGCGTGTAATTGGTTACATGCGCCCGTAATTCACCTCCAGCACCACGTAAAATCCACCCGTAATCACTGGGTCTTCACCCGTAATTTTGCGTGTAATTGGTTACATGCCCCGTAATTTACCCGCAGCACCGCGTAATATTCACCTGTAATCACTGGGTCTTCACCCGTAATTTTGCGTGTAATTGGTTACATGCGCCCGTAATTCACCTCCAGCACCGCGTAAAATCCACCCGTAATCACTGGGTCTTCACCCATAATTTTGCGTGTAATTGGTTACATGCGCCCGTAATTCACCTCCAGCACCGCGTAAAATCCACCCGTAATCACTGGGTCTTCACCCGTAAATGTTCACCTGTATCCTTGTGCTCAAATTACGGGACCCATAACGTGTTACGGACCCGTAATTTCTGTCAAATTACGGGTGGATTGACCCAAAATTACGGGTAAAATGACCCCCCTTTTCCCAGAGTGTAGGCTTGTGTTGCCAGCCCCCCAGCACCATGCCGTCTCTAACTTGCCTGCCAGGCCAATCGCCCTAGATTCCTTACGAAGTAGGATTCCGCCTCGGGACGCTGGATGTTGTCCGCTTGCTGTTTCCGAGTATGACTCGGACCTGTGGTGCAGGTGCCTGCAGCTGCCCCGCAGCGGACGCGTCCTTCACCAAGTGCTCGAGGATCGCTCATCCAGCCCCATTCGTGCCCATCCAGCCCCATTCGTGGCATTCGATCTCCGAGGACGCAACGACAAGCACAATGGCCGGGAGTTGCCTAAAGTCGAGCATGGAGCCTCAGGGTTATGGTATGGCAACACGGGGGTAATCGGAAAATTTCCACAAAAACAACCCATCAATTTACTCACTTAACACGTAGGCCCTTGAACGTGTCCATAGAGAATTTGGTGAAAACCTGCTCCAGTGCATCGCAGACTTTGCGCAGGGCTGCCGCGACCATTGTGCTTGCCGTCTTCTACCAGAGGGGTGCAAAGATTAGGGATTGGGTTCGGGTACCGGTCAGGCAGAAATTAGGATTAGGAAAGAGGGGCAGGATTAGGATACAAAGTTGAGGGCAGGTTTAGGATTGCGGTCCGGCCCCAGGATTAGGATTGGAAACCCCCCCAGGATTGGGATTGGGACCCGGCCCCAGGATTAGGATTAGAACCCCGACCCTAGGATATGGATAAATACCCCATATCCAGGACTAGGATTAGTACACTGGTGTTGTATTAAGATTAATGCACTGCAATGATTGGCGACTAGGATACTGCTGTGTAGGAGGACGAGCAAATCCCAGCTCCTCCAGCTACCGTTCCGACTGGGTTAAAAAGTTTTATGCCATGTCATACTTAGTTATGTGACTGGATCCTGTTTCTTACAATGTGAACTGCATCTGCATAACTGAAATGGTCCCAGACGTCCCCTCCCGTCCGTTTGAGCTTGACGGAGAGAGTGGCAGGAGGGAAGTTGCTTTCGATGGATACATGGGTAAACCATAGGAAATAGCAAGACGAGCAAGTAACACCCAGGAAAAGGAAATTACATGTAAACGAGGATTGGGCGCACTAGGGCACACAGAGCACTACGGCACACAGAGCACTACAGCACACAGAGCACGCACTGGTCCATGGGTCAGGTCACCTGTTCTCCCAGCCGAATAAAAGAACCTACATTATCAGCAAGTATGAATTCACATAATGCTCTACATGAACACCTTTTCACCTCTACCTATCCTATATGTCACACACGGGACAGGATGAGGGGCACGCTAGATGCTGCCAAGTCAAAACGGTAGGTAGGTCACATAGCTAGGTAGGCTATGAAGGCCCTGAAACCAGACAGCACCTAGAACACAACAAGAAATTCCTAGTCATTGGCCCACTTAAGCCTGCATACATACATACATACATACATACATACATACATACATACATACATACATACATACATACATACATACATACATACATACATACATACATACATACATACATACATACATACATACATACATACATACATACATACATACATACATACATACATACATACATACATACATACATACATACATACATACATACATACATACATACATACATACATACATACATACATACATACATACATACATACATACATACATACATACATACATACATACATACATACATACATACATACATACATACATACATACATACATACAAATCCGCCTGCCGGCTCCTCGGGTGTTTGAGGAGTGTTGAAATGGGAGGTGGCCCCCCATCATATGAACGATGTAGGACGTGATAATATCAACTTGCGAGCTAACCAGGAACTAAGTTGATGTGCCGTTGATCCGCTAGATTTGGTTGGATGCTGGTGGTGAGTTGCCGAACCCAACGAATACATTCTGAAGTCGGATGGGGTGACGGATTAGGGTGCCCCTCTAGCAGGGGAGAGCAGGGACTGCCCCGGGAAAGGGGGCCGCTGGCGAAGTTAACCACCCTGTAACAACATACATACAGGGCAGGCGGCTGGCAGAGGTTAAGGCCTGACTTCTGCTCCCAGTCGACCCAGTCGACCCGGGTTCAAATCCGCCTGCCGGCTCCTCGGATGTTTGAGGAGTGATGAAATGGGAGGTGGCCCCCCATCTTATGGACGGTGTAGGACGTGATAATATCAACTTGCGAGCTGACCAGGAACTAAGTTGATGCGCCGTTGATCCGCTAGATTTGGTTGGATGCTGGTGGTGAGTTGCCGAACCCAACGAATACATTCTGAAGTCGGATGGGGTGACGGATTAGGGTGCCCCTCTAGCAGGGGAGAGCAGGGACTGCCCCGGGAAAGGGGGCCGCTGGCGAAGTTGACCACCCTGTAACAACATACATACAGAGTATGGTTCAACACAACATGGCTACGGGTTGTATGACAAATGAACCTTGGCAGAAGAGGCAGCGGTATCGGCAGCGGCAATGGGGCCTTAGGAGGCGAGCTACCGCAGCTGCAGCCGCACCTGCATGCTATGTTCAGCCCTGACAGCAGCAGTGGTGGGGGGATGGGAAGCGGTGGAGCAGGTGGAAGGGGCGGCATTGGTGGGACTTTAGGGGGTGAGCAGGTGCAAGTGCCATGCATGCTTAATGCATGCAACGGTGGTGATGGGGCCTCAGGAGCCCAGACGGCTCAGTTGCCGCCGTCTATGCATGACATATTTGGCTCAAATACCCGAGGGGGAAGCAGCGGCAGCAGCGGCGCCGGTAGAGGACGATTGGGCAACGGCAGGAAACGGGCCACACCTGATCAGGGACGAGGGAGAGTGAATAAGGGTGGCAGGCTTGCAGCAATCCTGGAGTCACTAAAATGAACGAAAGATGCAGTGTTAGTTTCACTGAACTGTGGCAACGAGATTAGTATGACACAGGTTCCAACGTTGGGAAACGGACACCATGTCGGTGGCGGTAGAACGTTGAGCCCATGCCGAAAAGTCATTGCATTGTGATTCTAATGTCATGAAGGTCGTTGTGTCAAAGTTTCAGGGCGATTGGAGAGGGTCGACTTCTGAGGTACCGGGTTTCGCATGGCATTTGGGCCAGGTTCGAGTGTGGCCAGGTTCGAAAAGTTGAGGTTGTCCGTTCCAAGCCAAAAATTGTGTTTGAAACCTTTGTTGCTGATCGAAAAGGCCTGTATAAAAATTTTAGGATGCGGGCTGCTTGGCAGAAATCCATGTCGAGACATGTCGCCATGTCCGGTATGCCGTGGCCAAGGTCGACCGTTGACACTCAACTCTGACACTAGTCAAGTTTGACATTGTAAACGAAATGACGCCCATCACAGCTCACGGCATCAGTTCAGGGTGCGGCTTACCAGTATGTCGGCATCGGTATGGCTGCTGTACGTTCTGGAAGGTCCTCTCCATGAATGCCAGCTTCCCTGCTCGAGAGCAAAGATGGGTAGGCCTGTACCAGAGTCCTCGTGACCCTAAATGATATTACACCTGGTAGGAAGCAAGCACTGTGACCCAACGGCTGAACCCTGACCCATTGCTGTCGTAACACCTGCAGCCTGCACATGCCAGATTTATCAGCACAATGGCTTTGCATGTGTCCTGCCAGCATTAGAGACCTTGAAATGGTGAACGATGCTTCCCGAGATACCAAGATACTGTAGGTTGCTAACATGTACACTTACAAAAACATCCTAAGAGGACAACAAATAAGACCAGTAGGCCCATGTCCATAGTCCAGGGCAACGGAGGGGGTTACCCTGGGGCCGTGTTACCCCTCCTGCTGGGTAGGAACTTACAAGGGGGTTACCAATGGGCTACCGGGGGTTGAAGGTGGGTTATCCATGGGTTACCGACCCGATCAGTGCCATAGGGCTGTGTGGGACTGTGACAAGCCCGTGGGTGCATCAGCATCACGACCCAGGGGATGGTTGCCCATCTGCTAGCTGGGGGACGGTGCTTCCACTGATAGAGTCTGTCTGGAACTAAGGCACTGACGTCGTTGCACGCGCCCCCCTGACCCACGGGTCGGTTACCCTTTTCCTAGCTGTTAAGAGGAGCGCTGAGAATACTCAGGTGGCGCACTATGCAGCATGCACCACATGCACTTTGCTGAGGAACATTACAATGTGCCGTGGATAAGAGCCCTGGCCATACAGAAGGCTGTTCAAGCAGCTGTCAGCAATCCAAGTGGTGGCAGCATCCAACCATGCAGCATATGTCCACCGAACAACAACACGTGCATTGCCACCTTTCCCCGAATACAACCAGAGGATACCAAGCCGTCATTGCCTCACCAACCAATATCCGGGATATTCCATTCCCCAAGCCGTGCATCCCATACACGGATAATAGCTGCTTACATCAACGAAGCACATCCTGGGTTGTTTGCAGCAAGGTGAACCCCTCGAGCATGCGCTGCTGCCATGCAAGGTGCAAGAGAAGCAACCTTCCATGACTGCTCGTTGCAGCCACATTCTGAGTTGCCCCCTCCAGCAGAGCGAACCGGCGGACATAAAATGCTACAGCACACTCAACTTCATTCTAAATCAACACCAACTCCTCCATGCACCATGCTTCCTCCTGCAGCACCCGGCGAAAGCTTGCCTCCAATCGTGGCAACCCATGATTTGACTGTGCAGCCCAGGGATACCGCTGTGCATTCAGAGCCTGGCCTAGCGCTCCCTTCACGGCCAATGCCTGCCCAAGCTCCGGTGCCACCGCTCCAGATACAGCACTCCAGCTAGTAAGCTGCTCCCAAAGCTGCACAAACCGTTGCCTAGCGCGCCTTTTCTCCTTAATGGCCAGCTGCTGCTGATGCCGCCGCCCGCTGAGTCACTGTACCACGTGCTCCAGGGCATGCATGTTCACTACGGCATCCTGATGGGTTGGGTCAGGGAAGGGGGTCAGGAAAGGGTGCAACATCAAGCGGGGGCCAGAGCCGCAGTGCAAAAGTGGGCCACGGTGGGAGAGAAGTTAAATCTTTTCCAAGCAAATACAAACTTGGCTTGCAGCCTATCAACCGGGGTTTGGGGACCTTGGGTGATGCTCGATCCCTGTACACAACACTCGGCTGGCAGACAAGGAACCAAGAGCCTACATGGCCCCGTTGCACGAAGACTCTACAACCTCGCAGACTCAGCTCCACCTCCGCAAAAAGCTTCCGCAGCTCTCCCTTCACCAGGCTCCCTAGCGCCGCACTCATAAGCTCAGACTCAGGTCCCCAAGCAGCGGGGTCATAGGCATCGGCCTTCTCAAGATCGGCAGCCTGGTTTTTATTGTACGGATAAGGGCTGGGCGCTGCCTAACTGGCACAGAGCACCAGGGAAGAGCAACCCAAGCCGCACCGCATCAGAGCTGGCATCGAGGGTGTCCTCCCTCTGCAGCTTCTGAAGAGTGAGCCGGCAGTGAGCATACTCAGCCGCTGGGCTGGCAGGCACCACGTCAGCTGCTTCCAGCTGCCGAGGCTGCTGCTGGAGGGACTGCTGTACCTGCACATGTAAGGATACGTTGGCATTAGGATTTCACTGCTAAAATACCGCTTGCTTACCACAGCTGCATCACCGCCCTTATGCTCCAATGCGGCCCCAAGGACACGGATGCGGTGTCTGGCACTGTCCAGGGCAGCTTCAGCCTGAGTCTGCATTCGCCACAACCTTGCCGGTAAATTCCTTACGACATCCCTGCAGCACAGCCGCGCCACCCGCTCCAAGTGCGCTTCCCTAGTGACAGGGTTCATGTATTGTGTGGTACGGCCATGCGGACCGGCCACACTGTTGATATCTCTGCTGGCTCGCCCGTCCCCTGTCCCACACCATGCACCCCAGGGTGCCCAAACACGTTCTGGCATGCGTAACTGCAGGGCAAAGGCAAACACGTATTAGGAGATGCACAAGGCCCATACGGTGCTAAACACGCACCTATGAGCATATCGGTGCCAGGGAGGAATGAGTGGGCGCATGCCTCTGGCCAGGCGCTGCAGGTCCAGTGTCTGGCATTCCAGCCACTTGGCATATGACTTGCCCCACCTGTAAAAGTACAACGTGTAAGATGTCCACACAACAACAACCACACATCATGCCTCAGAAGGACTTACCTGCACACGATATCGTACCACCAGTACAGCGGTGCCAGCTGCAAGGAAGGACAGTGCTGCAGCAGTGGAGTATTATGTTATTACAGGTGGTTAAGCTTCACCAGCGGCCCCCTTTCCCGAGGCAGTTCCCTGCTCTCCCATGCGAGTGGGACACCCTGATCCGTTCACCCCATCCGACTTCAGAATGTATTCTTTAGGTTCAGCAACTCACCATCAGCATCCAACCAAATTTAGTGGATCAACGGCGCCTCAACTTAGTTCCTGATCAGCTCGCAAGTTGATTTTATCACGTCCTACACCGTCCATAAGATGGGGGGCCACCTCCCATTTCAACACTCCTCACACACCCGAGGAGTCGGCAGGCGGATTTGAACCCGGATTCTCCAGGAGCAGAAGTCAGGCCTTAACCTCTGCCAGCCGCCTGCCTATGCATGCCACTCCCCACTGGAGAGGTTCATGAGCCGCAGGAGCATCCCATGCCGGCATAACGCGAAACCGACAGCCGTGATGAGGTCCTGCAATTGCAAGCCCCGTAATCCAGGTGCCAGCCGTCCAAGCGCAGCATACCTTCCTCAATTCCGCAGCCGGGACCTGCAAGGCAGAGGGTTGGACAGCGGCAGCACGGCACAGCACGGCAAAAAGGTGGATGCCGCGAATTACGTGGCATAGTAAGCACATGGTGATTGGGGGAAAAAGGCAAAGGCTGCTCACTAGAAACACACCTTGGCTCCTGACCCACACCCACCTTGTCAGCATCAAAGTTCGAGCAGTGTGGCACACCAGTCTGCTGTGACGCATGACCATCCCAAAGCACCTGCTGTATCCATGCGTTGGGCAAGAAGTAACGGCGCCGTCCAGCTGTGTGTAGCCAGAAACGTAGCCCTTATGGAACAGCAGGTTTAGCTTAAAGCAGGCATCGAAATGTACCGAGTGCAAGCTCGTGGGGCCGGGCCCTGCAGCTTCGGGGCTGCAGGTGTCCTGAAGCAGCCAGTCAGTCGACACGAGCACTGCCGCCCCTAGCACTGCAGCGCCCGTGGACACCGCTGCTGTCATGGTTCCCGGGGCTGCTGCGCCGGCTGACGGGACTGGGGGGACGGGATTGCCCTCAGTGGCGGCAGGGCTGCCTGCCGCCACCTCTGTGTGCTCCAGTCCAGGATCCGGCCCCTCCACTGCTGCTGCTTCTTCCACGACCCCCGGCACTGCGGCGCCGGTAACAGGGGCTGGGGCGGCTGCGGCCGCGCCACTCCCTGCACTGCTGCACCTCGGAGTGTCCCCACAACAAGGGCACCCATTCAGAGCTCCACGGGGCCAGGTGCTAAGTGCGCCCTCCAGGTAGTCATCCACGACACCCTGGCAGTCCATGTACAGGAGTGCTTGCCGAAGGCATTTGCGAAGCGTGGTTGCCAAAACGGAAACTGGACGGTGGATGCCATTTTGCTCCCAGTTGTCAAGGAGTGCAGAGCAGAACGCGTCCGCACTCAGGTGCCTGCTCCTGAATGACACAAGGTTGAACAGCTGCAGGAGCGACTTGTGCCACCAGAGAACATGCTGGCCGTCTCGCTGAAGGTGGAGGTCCCACCCAGCCTTAGCGTCGGGTAGGCAGTTAAACTCTGTGGGACGCATGTTACGAAACGCCCGACAGGGCGTGCACCAGCACACAGGGACATCTACGCATATGGGTTGCTCCCAAGTGATGATGGTCACAGGGCAGGTCCACAGCCCTTCCGGGAAGCGCACAGCGCACCGGGGGCACGCTTCAGGTCTGCTTCCCGCCAGGCTGAAAGTACGGCAGCGCTGCTGCTCAGAAAGCAAGTCCGGCTCTCCTTGGCTGCTGCAAAGTCACGCACGTACGCTTCCCGCACATCTTGTGCTAACGTGGACTCTGGTCCGGGCTCTGGTTCTGGTTCCTCCTTGGCTGCGCTGAAACCGTCAGCATCTTCCGATGCTTCCACGTCGTCAGCGTCTTCACGGTGAATCGGATCAAAATCTTCGAGCTCATAGGTCGCGTCGTTATCAATGTTCACCGGCTCGTTGCGCATTGGCACTTGTGACAGCTACGTTTGTCGGAAGGCTCGGGGGCTGGGCAATCTGAAGCTGCTTTGCTCTAACCCGTCGGCTTTTCTTCCTCTTTGCTTTGGCAATGCTCTTCTTAATGGGGTCCTCGACCTTCATGAGCGAGTGAAGTTGGTAAGGCAAAGATATTGTTTGTATTCACCTAACCAACAGAGCCCATTTCGCTTACTAATTGTCGATCTCATGCAATGGGAAATTTCGTTTGAAGCATTGCTTCGCTGTAGGGCTGAGTAGCCTATGCCGTACAAACTGGTATGGTGCTGGGCCGTCGGGAAGGTCGCCGGGATTGTGGAAAATCGACGGCGCGAGGCGGCGCGAGTCACCCCTGGACCTTCCCTAACTCGTCGGACGCGTCCGGTGAGGGCGCTTCAGCCACGGCGAAATGCTCAAATCGTTTGGGGAGATTCTTAGGCTCCCCAAGGGGAGAGAGCCTCGGTACAAAGGGCCCTCCCCAACAGCAGAGGTCCCCACGGCTTGGGGACGCAGCCATAGCTGCCTCCTGAGCAGTGGGCAGGTGTGGCGCCTGTTGCTTTGGCCACAGAGGTCGTTGACTCGCAACACGATCGTGAGCAACTTTCGATACCGTCCCGAATTGTGATAACACAATTGCAAAATCTGCTCATGGCTGTCCCGAAATGGCAATGTCACGTAAAAACTCCAGGCCCATTTTCACGGCCACCCTGAATTGTAATACCGTACTGCTATTGTACATTCCTGATATTACAATTCAGGGTGGCCGTGAAAATGGGGCTGGAATTTTTACGTGACATTGCCATTTCGGGACAGCCATGAGCAGATTTTGCAGTTGTGTTATGACAATTCGGGACGGTATCGAAAGTTGGTAGTCCAAAACAGACGAATCGCAGGTAGTCCAAAAATAGAATCGTCACTCGGACACTCCCATATACAGATATGTACAGCTATGTACAGAGGGCGGTATTATGTACCCTGATGTCGCCCAGGCTCACACATTCATGCGGTTGGGGATCTTAATCTGGCGCTTGCCCCGAGACCGCATGGCCTGCCGTGCCACAATCAGCTGCTCAACTTCCTCCTCCTTCTCATCATCATTTTCCTCTTCGTCCTCCTCCCCCTCACTCTCGGAAGGAGGCACTCCATCCTCCTCCTCGGACTCCATGCCATCACCCTCCTCATCTTCCGCCTCCCCACCCTCTTCCGTCGGTGCCTCCATGGCAGATGCTTGCCCACGCCCGCGCCCGCGACCCCGCCCCCTGCCCCTTCCGCGGCCCCTGCCGGCCCCACCACGCCCTCGGCCCCGACCACGGCCCCTTCCACGTTGAACGACTGGGGTCTCCTCATCGTCCATGGTCTCCTCAGGGATGGCCTCAGCTTCCGCTTGCAGCCGCTGCACCTCCTCAAGAGATTGATGCTCGTGCTGCTGCTGCAGCTCCTTCATCTGGGCCTTGAGCTCTTCGAAGTAGTCGTCCTCCTCGTCGTCATCAAGAACCAGATGGCCTGGGGTCGGCTGTGGTGTCAGGTCGGCGCTGATGCCAGCTGCTGCAGCCGTCGCCTCCGCCTGTGCCTGCCGCTCACTTGCAGCACGTGGGAAGAGCAGGTGCTCTCCTTCCTCCTTTAGGCGCAGCGCCTCGTCACGGGTTGCCTGCTCGAAAGCAGCAAGCAGACCCGCGGCACGGAAGGCAGCCCGCACCATGTCTGGGTTGTCCTTTAGCTTGCACCATCCCGTGTACAGCAGGGCAGGCAAGAGGGGCTTCAGGAAGGAAGTCCCGAGGTTGAGGCGGACATCCATGGGGGCGATGCCAGCATTGAACTGGCGACGGACCTTGTCCTGGACGGCAACCATGGCAGCCTCGCGTGTGCCATCCTTGAACGGCTTTTGAATGCCCACGTCGCATGGCTGAGCCTTGGACGTGCAGCCGGCCGGGATGTACTTGACGATGGCGCCGGGACACTGCTCCTTGATGTACGCCTGAAGGAGGAAGGGAGGCAAGGCATGTCCCAAGGCAATCGGCTCATACCAGCATTCCGAAATGCGAGCACACAAGGGGGTAAGAGTCCAATCTCGCACCTGGAACGACTCAAGGAGGTGGACGTTCCAGCAATCAAGCAGGATGAGCCAGGGGTGGTCCTCCGGCAGTTTGAGGTCCGCCTTGACGCGCGCCACGTAGGGCTTCACGATGCTCCGAACCCACTGCTTCATGGTCTCCTCGTTGGCCCAGTGGTTGTCCGAGTAGGTGAAGAGCCAGCCTTCCGCCTCCATAGCCTTGCATGTCTCCACTGGAGGCAGGCAGCGCTGTGTGCTCCCCTGTGGCGATAAGAGCGGACCCATTCGAATTCAATGCGGAACAGGGCGTGAGGTTACTGGCATGGTCATCCTTGTGTAACGAAGATTCCCTAAATCCAATAAGAGTGAAACGTAAATAAGCATAGACAACTGCGACTGATGACAACCCGTCTCCCCCAAAACACCTGGAAGATGACTTTCGGTGGAAGCATGTCCCCGCTGGCCGAGCAGGCCACCATCACGGTGATCTGCCGCTTCTCCTCGAGGCCCAGGCCACGAACGTGCTTAGTACCTGTCCTAGCATAGGTCTCACGGCTGTAGGGGAAAAGATTACAGCCAGTCTGGTCGCCATTGATGACGAGCTCGGGCGGGATCTTGTGTTTCCATGTCAGGTAGGCCACCTGCACATGCGTAAAAGAAAACGTCATCTAGCGAGCACACTCAATGTGGATAGCGTAGAATCCAACCCGCAGTACGAACAGGTGGATGATGGTCTCCCAGTGTTCGGGCAACTTCTGGGCCGCCGTAGTTGCCCGGCGGTGGGAGAGTCCCAGTCGCTGGCAGACCTTGCGGATCCAGGACCGACTGACGCGGAAGTAACCCACTGGGTGATCAGCCAGAATGCTGGCATAACCCGCCCTCTTTAGCCCCCCAATTATGTACGGCCGCAGGGTCGCCGAGTTGACCTGCAGAAACGAGCAGGAATGGTAAGGACAGATTCATCAAAGCCACCTAAGAGCACTATGTAGCCTGGTCTGCCTGAGTGCCCATATCGATGAGCTCCATGATCCAGCCCTTCACGAGGGCGTAGACCTGGGGCGGAATCTCCACAGGGTGCTTGGGCTTGGACTTAGGCGCCGCTGTCGTGAACTTGGTCTTGTTGGACGCTATCCAGCTGCGGTACCAGTCCGTTACTGTCTGGTGCTTGAGCTCGCACCCCTGATGGAAGAGCTGCGGCTGCTGTGCGTGGAGTTGGTTGATCGCGGTTTGGACCTGCATACATCAAGGTAATACAGGTCGTCAGTAAGAAGCTGCAAGCTGAAGGCCTACACATGGCGGTCCGACACATACCTGATCGCCACAGCGGAACACGGTCTGCACAACCAGCAACTTGATTTCGTTGCTGAATAGGTTGTAGCGACCACGAACTGCGGCCACCCTACGCCGCTTCTCGGCAGGTTGACTGGGAGAGTCCAAGCGTGGTCAATGCTTCAAGGACCGCTAGCAACGGCAGCTTCCTTGATGTGGTTGCTGGCCGTCCGATGGGCCTCCTCGTCAAATTCAGCTGCTCATCAATCCTGTCGTTACCGGTCTGAGCTGCAGTCTCAATGGCAGCCTCAAGAAGCGCTTGCTCACGATCGTGTTGCGAGTCAACGACCTCTGTGGCCAAAGCAACAGGCGCCACACCTGCCCACTGCTCAGGAGGTGCATCAGGAGCTAATCTGGGTAGCAGGAAGGTCAACTTGGTCTGCTTGAGCGGCCTAGAAGTAGGGTGTAGTCTTTTCATGGCTACTACCAACAGTGTGTCATCCCTTGCAAGAAATAATAAGTATGAAGCGTGAAAATCAACCGGAAAAGGATGGAAAGTGCTTGAAGTACTTGGGCGCAATTTGTACATAGTAGTACGACAATTCGGGACAGCCCCTTTTTTTGATTTCCACTGACACGCCTTTCGTGACACCATCCGAAATGAATATCAGGAATGTACAATAGCAGTACGGTATGCTGGTGCGACCATCCAAACAAACTATGCCGTCACCGACAACACCACCAAGCATACGCAACCGAACGAAATGCCATCATCCCGCAAATTAACCATAAAACCTAAATTTTACGTCTCCGGACGCACAACGTCCAAATTGGACGGACGGCACACACTTAATAGCCAGCCGAAAAGTGCGTTGCACATACTTTACCAGCGAATATTGACACGATACCATTTATATCACACACTGTAAGCACGTCCAACGAGTCGTTGTATTGCAAATGCAAAAACCAGTCTATGCTCGTGCGACACAAAGCAAACTATTAAAAAATAATACGGAAGTAGCAGGCGGGGGCCCATAACCATTTACCCTGCCTTTATTATAGGACGTTCTTGTTGAGAACTGCAGAAAGAGGCGTGTACGGACGAGAATATGAAAATTAAGCAGGGAACGAGCCGATACGGAAACCTGCGGAAACGGAAACCTGCGGAAATAGGTTTCGTCACGCTTTCCGCAGCGAAGCCCAAATTGGCGGAAATGCGGAAAGAGAATCCGCATTTCCGCGTTTGCTGTACGGCGGAAAGTCAAAAACAGATTCCAGGCATGCGTTTGCCATTTAAAGACTGCGTTTTACACTATGGAGTTATTAGATTAAGTCAATTGTCAGCAACCACTGGCCCCGACCTGGGGGCTGCCGAAGTCATAGAGATTGACTGTGTTTCTGCTCAGAAGAAGGGTGGAAGGCCCGTTGACGACGTTTGGAAACATTTTGATAGAGGTCCTTACGACAAGAGCAAGAACTGCTATGCAACCTGCAAGGGCTGCCGTCGCCACTGGAGACGTGCTCGCCTTCCTAATGTGACGATCCCGTTTGACATACCGAACGGGCTAGCCTTGCTGCAGAAGTGTTCCTGACCAATAGTCAGGAGTCAGCATAGACTTGTCCGTGAGGCATGCAGACATGCCGGACGGGTATGTGGAGTAGGCATGCAGACATGCCGGACGGTTCGTGTGGGTCACTGCTCCGCAACGGACAGGGAGACGATTACTATTCAGTGTTTCAGGGCTCCCCGGGCCCTTACCCCATGTAACATATGAGTGGCAATTTCTGAGCATCCCAGAGCAATCCGTCAGCCAACAACACTATGGGGGTGATATACGATAGGGCTGCTCAGGCCTGGGGTCTCAGGGTTCAAAGAGAGGCGGGCTGCTTGAAGGGGGTAGGGTGAACACCGTCAAGGGTGTGGGCACACAATAGCTGATCGCTTGGCCCCCGCCACCCCCAGTAATACGTTTAGATGGCTCTACCTTCGAGCACGATTGGAATCCACCAGATTCTAGATCCCACCGGCCAGAACCGCACTGCCACAAGCTGGTTTCAGACTGTCCATGTCATCGCCACACTGAGAAGAGCTAAAAAACATCGTTACATATTCATTTTATAGTTTTCGCAGCTTTCCGCAGTTTCCGCAGCCTTTCCGCAAAGGGGCTCCCGAATACGAAAAGATTCCGCAGACCTGGTCAAGTTTCGGCTCGTTCCCTGAAATTAAGGATTCTTTATGAATCACCAAAGTGTTTTTCCTTTTGATATCTTCGTTGCCGTGTTTGTCTTTATAGACAACAAGGCCCAGGCTTTTACGAATCCACCCCAGGAACATCCGAACATATACCCCGCCCGCGGACGGTCCCCTGTCCGCAACGCCGTACATCCTGACCGTTCCAGGGAACGAGCGGGAACGGAAATTTGCGAAAGCGTAAATTTGCGAAAACAGTTTCCGTCCGCATCCGCAAGCAGAGTCTGGTTTCGCGGATAGGAGGAATCTGGTTCCGCACTTCTCGCGCTTGCGGTACGGCGGAAAGTGAAATCCACGATTTTGCGCGCAATTTCCATATAAATAGCTTGCAGAAGCGCTTGTCACTTAAAATTTGTTTAGAGAAAAGTTTGCTGCGAGCCCTGAGAAGGGTGCCGACGAAATTTCAAGCCAATCGACAATGCACCCCCGCGCGGACTCCCGAAGACGGTGCGAAGCCTCCCTGGAGTCAGTGAACGGAATCGCCCAGCGCGACGCTTCTCGCTGCAACAGTAATCTCAATCAATAGCTTTACACGATCGTTGCGATATTTGATCATTGTTTCCTACCTAGGGATGGACCACCCTACCAGGCCGCTACCGAGACGGCCATCGTATGGCCGATCGCAAGGCCGTTTCCCGACCTGCGACCTGAGTTCAGCTAAAGTTATTTAGTCAACCAATCCGTTTGCCTGCGATGTATGGAGCTTTTAAAATTGCAAAGAATGATCAAGCAGAACCGCCATGACAAAGCGCCGGAGCGGGCCACTGTTTCTTGCGCTCTATGGCGCTGTTCCCGATCAGCGAATGTAAAGCTATTGATTGAGATTACTGTTGCAGCGAGAAGCGTCGCGCTGGGCGATTCCGTTGGCGGACTCCAGGGAGGCTTCGCACCGTCTTCGGGAGTCCGCGCGGGGGTGCATCGACAATCGTTGAGGTCCTTGCAGTCAAGAATAAGTCCGATAATGGTATGGACCATACCGATCTAACTAGTGACCATATCTATATTGAACAAAAAAGTAGACAGAATCAAACTTGAGAGTTTGATCCTGGCTCAGAACGAACGCTGGCGGTATGCTTAACACATGCAAGTCGAACGAACAAAATTGGGGCTTGCTCCAATTTTAGTGAGTGGCAAACGGGTGAGTAACACGTGGGAATCTACCTATCAGTACGGAATAACATTTGGAAACAGATGCTAATACCGTATATTCTCTAAGGAGGAAAGATTTATCGCTGATAGATGAGCCCGCGCAAGATTAGGTAGTTGGTAGGGTAATGGCCTACCAAGCCTACGATCTTTAGCTGGTCTGAGAGGATGATCAGCCACACTGGGACTGAATCACGGCCCAGACTCCTACGAGAGGCAGCAGTGGGGAATATTGGACAATGGGCGAAAGCCTGATCCAGCAATACCGCGTGAATGATGAAGGCCTAAAAACTTTTTTTAAAGGAAATAATGACAAGTTCCCAATTACCGTTATCGGTGCTGGTTCAAATGTAATTATTAGAGATAAAGGAATAGAAGGAGTCGTTATAAAACTAGGAAGAAATTTTACCGATGTACAATTTGTTGATAATAATTTAATTGTCGCAGGTGCCGGATGTTTAAATTCCAGTTTAGCTAAATTTTGTCTAGTTAATTCAATTACCGGATTTGAGTTTCTTATTGGTATTCCGGGAACAGTAGGAGGAGGTGTAGCGATGAATGCCGGTTCTTATGGCCGTGAATTTAAAGATATAGTTGCTTCTGTTGAAGTATTAGATAAAGAAGGTGATTTAATAATAATTCCTATACATCAAATTGGGTTTTCCTATAGAGCAAATTCTTTACCAAAAGATTTGATTTTTACTAGGGTTTTTTTTCAAGCAAAAAATAAAGACGTAAATAAAATAATACAGAAAATGGATGAGATAAGCGCTATTAGGAGTGCTTCGCAACCAATTAATGAAAGAACAGGTGGTAGTACTTTTGCTAATCCAGAGGGATTTAGGGCCTGGGAACTAATAGATAAAGCTGGATTACGTAGTGCAAGGGTAGGGGGAGCATGTATGTCAGAAATGCACTGTAACTTCATGATTAATTATAATAACGCTACTGCTGCTGATATGGAAAATTTAGGCGAATTAGTAAGGCAAAAAGTTAAGGAAAATAGCGGTATAGAATTACAATGGGAAATTAAAAGAATAGGTAGAGAATAGATAGGCATATGGCTAACGGAAATTTTAAAACTGTATATAAAGAAAAATCTCTTATTGTTGAATTTGATTCGTTCAGCAAGTTAGGTGATATGAAATTAATTGATTTTGTTAAGCTTGAAGGTAAATCTATATGTGTGTGGTTGTTACAGTGGGCTCCAGACTCCCGAAGAGTAGAGCCATCGGGCCAGCTGGCCGTGCACTGCAGTAGAGACTAATATACCAAAAGATTATCATCTCAGATAATTAACCTCTCATCGGTAACCGCTCTCGCGAACAAATCAATTTGCCAGATATAATCCTCAAAAAGGGGTGATGTGCGCCAACGGATTCCCAACCTTTTCGTGGAATTCCTAAAGCTGCGAAACCCTGAATGCGGCCCCAAAAATCAACAATAACTCGACAAATTGCTTCTTCCGTAAGGGAAGGACCAGGTAACAGTGCCGGGTTGGTTTTCATGTTTGCAGCCATATAACGTCTCCCATGCTCCATGGCTGACACCGCAGCAAGAGCCACAACATCCCAAACACATTGTTGCACTGATTGTGGGGCTTGGATAAGCCAAAGTTGCTCCCTTGAGACTGGCAATCCTATTGAAAGAGTAAGTTGGTCTGCTATTGCCTGTGCCACCGGACAGGCCCAGAAATGATGATAGCGAGGGGATACACCTCCCACTGAACCTATTGGATAACCTCCACAACCACATATCGTTGGGCGCGACATCCTAAGATGGGAATTTCCTAACATAGGCACCCCATCAACCGCAAGACGCCACCAAATCTCTTTTTGTTCATTTTCCCACCGTAAATGAAACCATAA